TCAAACGAAAAATACTAGAAAACGGAACAAAATGCAGTTTCAGTGCATAAATTCTCCAAGAATTCGGCAAAGCTGCTATGATGTTTACAGCAAAAGCTAGTAAGTTTGTGCTAGGAAAAACAATCTTTGTAAGAATTGATTTCAGTTCATTTTTTAGCCACGATGCTTCAGAAGACTAACATCTATTCCTTGCTTTGAGGTAATTTCGATTGAAAGCGCTTTGTTCCGCTTCCTCAGGTGATAGGGGATTCCGCTCAAAGAATGTTTCTAGTTGTCGGAATTCTGCAACGTATTCCTGAAAAGTTCGACAAAATTTGCGAAATTCTCTCGGTTGTAATAACAAAATTTCTAAGCTGACTTTCCACTTAATACCAGTCAGAATACTCCAAAAAAAAAAGGTTTTAGGCTGATTCTTGCGTCAGTTAGGACTGCAGAAGCTGTGAACATCACTTTTTAGCAGAGAAAAGATCTAATCGGCATACATAATCCATGTTAGTAGCGCTATTGAGATGAGCCCCTGTAGGCCGAGCACAGCTCTGCTAAGCCGTAAAAAAGCAGAAGTATAGCACAGAACTAATATGTTTCGGTTCATTAAGCTATAAAAATTCTAACTCTACGTCGCGCGATAAGACTACTTTAGCAAAGTGTACATGATACTATTTTACGAAGGAAGAGGAAATGGCGAAACAAAAAAAATAGAATGAAAACTCGAGAATATTTCTGCCTCGATCTTCGAAAGGTAAATGAATTTTGAAGGTCTTTTCCAAAATGTTTACCGACAGATGCGGTGTAATTGTGCCCGGTTCAATAATAAACGAATATTTAACCATATCGGCCATTGTACTTGCAAAACTATTTATTCGTTCAAGCATTCGAGCACAAAAATCGGCATCCTGTTGAGTCCAGTTTGATAATGGATCTACCTAAACATAACTCGCAAACGACTTTCATGATTCTGGAACTAACGTTTCAAATTTTTTCAGCCGAATTATGTTTCTTAATTACTATGGTCCCTAATAATATGGATTACCAGATTATGAATTATAATTAGCCAAGGTATTCAGATCAAAGTTGCGCTTTGACTTTGACTTCACGGTCTGATTTTCAACTATATGTGCTAATCATAATTATACTGTTAGTGACGCTCAGTCCTTCACAGGCCACAGTTTTTTTTGTATGTTTTAAATCTAACTGAACATGCTTATCCTTTTTGTGTTTTATGAATTTTGATCCCTAGGAAAGATACAAGTGATTCAATACTCAGGTTCATGCAGCTCTTGTCATTTTTGATTCATCCTCTTCCTGAATATTTAAACTGATTAAATTTATGATTATACTCAACAGATTCCTAATAGTTATTGATCCCTTTATAGTGATCTTGATCTGCAATAAAAGACACGATTTTGACAAAAAGAGAATCAACCCACCGTTT